CGTGATACCGATGGGGAATTTTAAAAAAGCCAATGAAAGGTTTTCTGGCGGAACAGTAAATTGATGTGTAAAAATTGCAAGCGGCGATGAAACTGTCAGAGAGAAGGAAGGGAGATTGCGTTGGTCAATTAAAAAATGGAATTGTTGACGATGCTCGGTAATGGACAATAAAATAGGATTTAAAATGAAAAATAACAATTTTTCCCTCTATTGTGTTAGATTAATATATTTTTATATTAATTGCAATTTTTATTTGTACGAACTTGAAATAAGATGAAAATCATTTCATTGGAAATTTGCGAAAAATAAATATTTGAAATACCTGAGGGAAAAAGGGGTGTAAAATGATGGTGCAACGGCTTTCAAAAAAGCGAGGCTCACAATTGCGGAGCAATTCGAAACGAGAAAAATGGACGATGGCCGTGTGCCACGAAAAAGAAGAAAAAGCTTCCTCCCAGGTAACGCCGTACCTGTATCCCGATAAAACAGAATGTAAATCAGGAGCTGAGCTGGACAGAGATGGACACGGAGGGACTAGTTCTATAGAAGGACCAACCCATGTGCGTTCTAACCAGCAGTGCACACACAGGCCAATATACATATGTATATTGCCGAAGTTTACTTGCTGCAGTGCAGTAGTAACCTCACCCACTGCACCCCTGGCCAGCACCCATTGCATCTCTCTTCCTCTCATCTCATTCACTTTCTGCCTTGCTGCATACACGTTTCTATATATATTTCTAGAATACATACTATTCAAAAGTATTATAATATTTATTTTTTCAAAATATTATTTAAATTAGAAATAGAAAAGTCTATTATGTAATACATTTATTTTTGATTATTAAGGTAATTAATAATGTCTCTCTTTCTCGAGATAAATTTATATAAATTTTATTATTTAACCCTTGAACAGTAGAAAATAAAAGTAAAATTTAGAAAATGAAAATAATATAAAATAGAGAATTAAATTAGAATCGTGGCTCTCTCCATAGTCCGTCATCCGAGAGTAAAGAAACTCATTATATTACACAAATTTTATAATATTTAATAATTCAAAATCATATTATTCTGCTTCCAATGACTTCTAATACTAATATCATTAAAATTAAAACTCTAAAAAATTCCTCCTTTCCCTATATCACTATTTCCCCTAGAGAATCCTGATTCGATCGCGAGTGTACACACAATCCTACCTCTATTCATCCTAGATCCCTCTCTTTCTCTCTGGTAGCAGCGTCCGAAAATGGATTCTCCACCTGGTCGGAATGGTTTTCGAAAAGTTTAGCTCACATGTGGCCATCCAGCAGTCCGTAACCATCTTCCACATTCATGCAAACACACACGTACAGACACAGTCGAATCTGACAGGTATTACGATGATAGATACGCGCGTACCACTTTTTTTTCCCGGAGCCCTGCCCTGGGATCTCTTCCGGTCTTTTGGAACTGGCTGGCAACCGGCCAGAATTCACGGTGCTCCCGCGAACCAGGACACTCTGAAGTTCGACGTGTAGCATCTCCGTGGGCAGTGCCATTTCAAAATGAATTTTTTTCTCCACCCACTCTCTCCCTCGTCGCTGTGTACGTGTGTTTTTTCTGTAACCGCGCACAGCTTAGCCAGTCAAACGAGGGCACGATAGATAGAAATTCGAGAGCAGAGGACCAGTGTGGTTTGTTCTAAAGGATTCGTTTTCACGAGAGAAAAGAGTATTTTTTTTCCATCCACGATCAAATGCTTTTTTCCCCCCCCTATTCTATCCCTGTCTGCTGCCTTTTTTCCTTGAACGATCGCTGCGAATCTGTTTGGTTTTTGACGTTGTTCAATAGATCCTGTTATACACTCTGTTACCAGAGACTCTTCAGCAATTACAGCTTGTTTTTCTCCGGCTTTTTAGAGAAGTTCTACTGGGATAATCGAAACGAACGGTTTGCTTTTAAACCGGTCTAGTAGAGGTTTTAATTTGAGAACCGTTCGAGATGGGAATCGACGATATCGGAGGGAATAAATACAGGTGATTCCGATGTGTGCAATATGCAAATCTCGGATTAATTGGGGATAGATACTAGGATAGATGATGCTTCCTTTCAATTTTCAGTATCCTGCTCAGAGAGGAGGTAGGGATGATGTTTTCTAATTTCGTAAAATAATAATTTTGAACCGAGGAAGAAAATTACCTCCTTCTCAGAGAGGGGTGAAAGAGGAATTTTTCTAAACTTCTTAATTTCCTAAAATAATAATTTTGAATTGGAAAAAGAAATAACCCCCTACTTAGAGAGAAGAGGGAGGAAATTTTCTAAATTTTCTAATTTCCTAGAATAATAATTCTGAACTGAGGAAGAAAATTACCCCTTTCTCAGAGAGGGGTGAAAGAGGAATTTTTCTAAATTTCTTAATTTCCTATAATAATAATTTTGAATTCAACAAAAATAAATAACCCCCTTCTTAGAGAGAAAAGAGGGAGGAAATTTTCTAAATTTTCTAATTTCCTAAAATAATAATTTTTAATTGAAGCAAAGAAGAAGGAGAGAGGAATTTTTCTAAGTTTCTCAATTTCCTAAAATAATATTTCCACTTCCTATGACAAAATATCTAACGTTCGAAAACTCCAGGAACTCCTCGAACTCCAGTTAACTAAATAAATCAAGCGGCGAATTACGTCGCGAACAAAGATCGTTTGGACACTCGTATTACGGGCTTTAAAATTCTTTTTCGACTCGGCTTTACGTTCCAGCGGTACGTAAAAAAGGTACGTTCTCTAACATGGTTCCCGAAGAAGGGAAACTTCGCTCGCGGTGTCTGCGCATAGTCGTAAAGAAACAATGTTGCGAGACTCGCTGAAACGAGGAAACAGCCATTTCGTTCTGCCGCTTCCGCTTTCATGTTCCTCCTGCTACAGACAGGAAGCAGCGTTTCAAGCGAGGTCTGCTCAGCAATTTGCCCTAGCGGGCATCTAATTTTAAGTCCGACTATTTTATCCCACTGCGTATAGCAACCGCATGATGGAGATTGACTATAAAGTCTAGTTTACATCGGTAGAATAAATAGTTAAGTATACCAGCGGAAGTAAATTGCTTGCAGGCTCTGTATTATCTCATTTGTGCAAATTTCACTGCTGTAACAGTGGCGTAAGAAAAATTTAATTCTAAGGTGAATCAAGAATTCTGAGTTTACTGAAAAAATTCATTTCTTCTGAAAATTTTATTCGCAATAAAATATCCTGTTTTTAATAGTCACCCTTAGCAGCGGAACGGTTAAACCGTACAATTAAAGCACTTTACATTGCCCAAGGGCAACCCTTGTCTCCCATACTACCCTGCTGTGTTAGGTCTGGTTTAAAGCGCTTCAAATTAGCGTGGACTGATAAAAAATTCAAGCAGTCCCGTTTCTAAGGGAAATTAATTAATTCATGGACGGTGAGTGAATTCGAATGGGAGAGAGTAGCAGTGGGAGCACTTTAAGTGCAGCCCCAAGTTGCTTCAATTGATTTTCTTCGATGGTGAATGGTTAGATTTGTACTGGTAAATTTAATTAGAAATAATGTGTTCATTAACATTATGAAAACCGTATGGTAGAGTAACGTATACAGTTATTGACCCCTTTACAATAATTAACCCTTTTTCTAAAAAAGTATAATTTTTAAACAAAGGAAAATAATATGGTATACAAAATTAAATAAAAATTCTGATTCTCTCCATGGTCCGCCATCCAAGGGTTAAGAAATGCATATTATATATTTTTTACTTCTTTAGAAAAAGAGCCATCATTGTACAGAGGTCAACAACTATATTTGTTACCCAATTAATTAATATTCTGAATAAAATATCGATCACCTTGAAAATTCTTTTTTCATTTTCAAAATGAAATTTCTCATTAACCTTCAATTACATAATCCTCATTTTTCATTTTTAATAACGTTTGAAAGCCCGATGCAACATTCAAAGGAAACAAACGTCTGTTTCCTCATCCCCGATTTTTTTTTTTTAAGACAAAGCTTCTCCAAACTTGGAGGGACCTTTCCCGCAATTAACAAAAGAACGATCGATCTTTTTCATACCGGTTGGACGCGTTCCCGTCGCATAAGAGAACCTTCAAATTTCTCCCCACGGACAGAGAGGTCGACAACAAACGGCACCATAGCCCTCTGCAAAGAGGAGCAGCCTTTTGTCAACTTTCCATAAAGGCTCGTCAAGATAATCGTAAAGGCTTAAAGTATAATATCTTCTATGTCTCCTTTCTTTCCTCAGACATCCTTCTTTTCTTTCCCCGCTTTTTAAATATTTAATAACGCGCTTAATCAGATAATTAAAAAAAAGGGAACAGTCTTGGTACCATTATGATTTAAATTTTAACCCTTGCCGACTGAACGGTGTCAAAAATAATATATCCCAGGCATATGGAACATCTTCAATAATAATGAAAATTTTTTCGATCCAGGAACCAGGTACACTTTTTGATTGCTTTTGTAATTGTTCGAAGTAAACGTTTTGAAGTTAATGGCTCGATACTCGGGTTGTTGCACGAAAAAAGTTACGACATTTAAGTGTCGAACTTCATCGAACGACGGCTTTTAAGTCCTTGACTCTGAAACCGGATCCTGAAGAAACTCGCGGCGAGCACTTTGAAGACGCGCGACCCGGATTTTTTCAAAAGATAAAGGTGTCATTTTTTAGTGGGTAATTTAAGAATTTTTTGTCAAATGGAATTTTCGTCAAGTCAAAGTTTCAAATTATTTTGTCAAAACCCTTGACTTTCAATTTTTTCAAATCCGTAACTATTACAGTAGACTCTGTTTACTTTTCAATTTATATAACAAAATTGCTATTATTTTATCAATAATTTGTATAGCAATCTCTAAATTTCAAATACTATATCTGAGATAAACAAAAAAATCTGCACCCTTTAATTAACAAGCTATTATCGCCTTCACGTTCCGGTAATTAATCGTCGATGCTCAATTAGGAGAGAAAAAAGTAATCAATTAGAAGAAGGAACTTACCTGATAGTCCATGTAATTCCCGTAGCCCATGTGGTTGCAGGTGCAGGCACATGCTTGGATGTGCCTCCGCATGTCTAGCTCAACCTCTTCGCCACAGACACCTCGGCTCGTGGCCATCATGGTATCCCCCATGCAATAACCGCTGGTGCAATACATCCTCGGATCACTCTGGTCCAGGTATCCACCACCCGTGTCGTCGTAACCGAGTCCACTGGCACACCTGGAATCCGAGGTATATCCCACACGAGATTGGGGACGCTCCTCGAATCCCAGTCTGGACTGGGGCCGATGGAAACTCGGGGGCACATCCTGTAACAAAAAAAAAAAAATCTCTTCGTCAGTACAAATTTTCCGACTTATCTAATTGGAATTTAATTACCTACGAATTGGAAATCAATAAAACCTAAGAAAATGTTACTGTCCCGAAAAAGAACTTCAGTAATTTTTAAATAAAGTATTAATAGCCCTCGAATTTATTTTTTTCTAAGATCCTAATTTTAATTTTTCTAAGTTCCTGATATTTCTATAGGGTGCTATAAAGTCCTACCACACAATTTTTGATGATTAAAATATAGGGTAATATTAACCCTCGCACGGCGGACTATGAAGGAAACCCCAATTTTCTTTTGTAATTTCACTTTGTTATAGGAAATTCTTTTGTTTAAAAATAATACATTTAACTGAACTATAACAAAATTAAATAACAAATTTTTCTTTTTAGAGGACGTGTTATCTATATATTTCTAGCTGTAAATCGTGCTGTATTCAAGTCTCCGGAACACAGATTGTTCGGAACTTTTCTCTTCTTTTTTTGTAACGCGATTTATACGTTCATTCTTTAAGATCCTTTCGAGAGCCATTAGGTGAGACTATATTTTAGTCTCTCGAACGTTTCCCAACAGATGTCTTATGGATGATAGTACCGGGCACATCGACCTATATCCTTCGGATTCTAATCAATCCTCATTTCATGAGAGTAGTTGGAAAGCTTTCTACCGACAGAAGATATCGATTTCAATTTGAAAATGATCTCGTTGAAGGGCCAAACGATATTCTAAGGGAAGCTTTCAATCGGGCTTTGATCTTCTAAAATTCATCCACTGCCTTACGGTATATCTATTAAATAAAAAAATCATTTTATCAGCGAAATATTTCGAACGAAAAATTTTAATTTTATTAAGGATTTTCATTTTACGATTTTCTCTGTAAATTTTTGTAAGAGGACGCTGGTTTCCCTGGAAAATATTCGCTGCACAGCGACACATCGATTTGTCATTTCCCAGAATGAAAGTACCTCCCTCGTTTTCTCTCTGGAAAGTAGCTTTTAAGAATACCAGCTGAAGAGACAACGACGGAGAAAAAGGGAAATCGGTTCGATGACCGTCCTCCGCTTCAACACCGACCGACAATGAAACACTTCAGAGAAACATTATCGATCTCTCGCGACTCTTCCACCATCGGTGTTCCTTTTATTTTTTATTATTTCCATGTTGGATCTCGTAATGTTACAAGTATCGAGAATCGTTACACTGATTGTTCCATGAAACGTATAATGTTGAGACTTTTTTAATTTCCAATTCTAATTACTCGAAAGCATTTTAATACGAAAAGATTTCGAAATCGTTGAGAGATAATGAAAATTCAAGGCTCGAAAACATTCGGAAATTTTACATATTTGAAATGTAAAAATATTCTGAAGATCAGAAAAAATATAAACCAACAGTTATCAGGAGATTCTGAAATCGAGCTCGTGAATCCATTTCTCTTGAAAATTAATTGTTCAAACCTTCTTGCGAAATCCTCCTCGAGATATTCGTCAGACTGTCTCAGCAGAATTCAGCGAATTTCATATCGGGATCATTGAAAATCGTAAAAAGAAACAATTCGATGAGAACGTTCGCAGATGTTCTTTCGACGACGTCGTTATCTATCTTGTTAAAAATTATTCTTGATATTAGAAGCAACGAATTCTATCAACCACACGTAAAAAGCATTCGTCCTCGAAACGATAACAATTTACGGGGAAAATGGAGGGATGTTCGGTACGTGGCCGTTTTATTCCCGCATTATGCATCGAAATCGCGTCTGGACGACCCGCGGTGATTCCTATTTTAAATCTAGCGAGACGAGCAGCGATCTGGGTCACGTTAGAGATTCATTCGAAATATTGCGGGTATTAAAACTAATGACAAAGAAAATGGAAGAAATTTATTGATTTGAAATCGTATCGTAGAAACTATCACTTTGATTTATGACAACCATTTTGTACTAAGCGGAATAATACAAGGCGCTTATACATCATAATTTTAAGCACATTTTAAGCTTTAAATTGATGTATCATAAGTACCATTTGGCGATACTTTTATGTCATGAAATCTTGTTAGACTTTGAAGGTTTCAAAATCGGATTCTTGGTATAATAGAATAATACTGTTCGTTGTAATCGACGACCACTCATCTCGTATTAAGAATATCAACAGGGGATTTATATAGCCATTTTCGTCGATCTTTAAGCTTTAAATTGATGTATCATAAGTGTCATTTGGTGATACTTTTATGTCATGAAATTGCCTTAGACTTTTTACGTTCCGAAATTGGGTATACTTGACAGAGTGGAATAACACTGTCCGTTGCGATCTACGACCACTTATCTTGTATTAAGAATATCGACGGGGGATTTATATAGCCATTTTTGTCGATCTTTAAGCTTTAAATTGATGTGACATAAGTGCCATTTGGCGATACTTTTATGTCATCAAATCGTACCGTACTTTGGAGGTTTCTAAACCGGCAATTTAATATAAAACCATCTAATAATATAACGTCTTTGTCTGGCAAGTTTCATTATTAAAAAGCTGGCATGAGAAGGTGGCCAGATGCTCCATATCGCGAGATTATCGGCAGCCGTTGATTTATTTTTGACAGTGGCATTCGGCAGGGCCGGCGTTGCTTGAATTCCTAAAATATGGCGAGGAAACGGTCGGGGAAACTGGGCCAAATCGATACCGGCCAAATATACGCGCCCGGCAAAAGTTCGAACTTGAAGCATGCAGTAACCGGGCTCGAATCAATTTTCGTATCCTGAAAAGCCGTAATGGCCGTCGCAAGATTCGGGATTTGCTCGAGTTTGCTGGCCGGCAACTCTGCCGAATCCTGGCCTAACTCGCGATCCCCGATCGGCTCTGCTTTCCCCTTGATGAACGGGACTCGGCGATGCCTGCTGGACTTGAATTGCCTTCGTCCAGCGAGATGTAAATGGTACTATTACAGTTCGTCGAGATGATCGCTGTTAATGACACGTATTCGAGCGTTGGGTGCTAGTGGTGGCACTTAGCTCGACAACTGCCTCGTGAAATGATAGAATATCGCGAATGATACTTTCTTCGACGATAAAATAGGATAAAATATATCAATATTTTTATGGACGAATTACCCTCTCTAATAAATTAATTAAATATAATTAAAATAGTATAATGTAACAGGTGGTAGTTTCATTAGGAGAGAGTTAATTAAATATTGCGATGATGTTATGGAATAGCTAATAAATTAATAATTACTAAGGATTAATTAACGCGATTTTCATTAACCTTCGGAGAGAGAGACCTAATTTTAATTTAATTTTGTATTTCTATATTTTACACTATTCCTCTGAAAATTATTCTTTCAACATATGAAACTCTTTCGATTAAAAATTATGCATTTAATCTAACAATTACAACGTATATCAATAATTTCAATGTAATGTAACGTTCGATCGTTATTGAACTTAAAAAATATGTTAAAAATAATTCATAGACAGGAGGTGTCAGGTGAATCACCAAAGTTTAAACAGAAATTGAAACACGTCACTACAGGTTGTAACGATCGTTGTTGTCGCTGACAAATCATTCACCTTTTCGAACATATCGGTGCTGGTGATACACTTCAGTGAAAAACCGGCTCGTCGAAATGAAAAGCTATAGAAGAGAGAGGAGGGTAACTATTTTTTCTCCTTTCCTTTCAATTTTTTAAACCACCTATTGGAACAATGTCACGATGGCTCGCGACAAATATTGTTGACACTGACAAATATTCCCACGTCGAATGTAACCGAACCACTTCAATACGAGGAACCAGGTCGTAAAAAAAAGGAGGAAAGATACGGAAGATTGTGATTCCTTTCAACGATTTTTCGAAATAGATGTAAAATGGATAGAGATGAATATCAGTTTCCAATAAAATGAGATATCCCTCCTGTTTGTTTCATATCGGATACCTTTAGTATCCGATACACATTTTACTTTTCTTATTAAAACTTTCCACGAGAAAGTATATATTACCTCCGTACCTTTTTTTTGTATCAATATCACCTTTCATATTCGATAGCAGTGAAAATTAATGTCTGGTAGGAATGTGATATTAACTACCTCGGTAAAATCTTCTTTTATTAAGCAGGTGAGTGTTTGAAGAATTTTCCTATTAGATGAAGTGGTGGAATATGTAATTTTGATAAAGACATCCAGGAAGTGGAATTTGGGAAAAGCTTAAGCAGAGTTTAAGAAAAGTCAAAGAAACACTCAGGAAAAGCTTAAGTGGAGCTTAGGTAGAATCTATGAAAAGTCTAAGTAGAAGCTAAGAGGAGTCTAAGGGGAACTTGGGGAGGTTGTAAGGAGCTACTGGGAAGAGCCTAAGTACTTACAGCCTAGATAGAGTCTAAGAAAAGCTTAAGTGGAGCCTAGGAAGAATGTAAAAAAAGCCTAAGTAGAACATAGATAGAGGAAAGCTTAAGTGAAAGGAAGGAAGAGTCTAAGGAAAACTTAGGGAGGGTCTAAGGAGCACCTAGGAAGGGCCTAAGTAGAAGCTGGGAAGATCCTAAGTAGAACTTAGGAAAATTCTAAATAGAACCTAGGGAGATCCTAAGCAGAACCTAGGGAGATCCTAAGTAGAACCTAAGAAGATCCTAAGTTAAACCTAGGAAAATCTTAAGTAGAACCTAGGGAGATCCTAAACAGAACCTAGGGAGATCCTAAGTAGAACCTAAGAAGATCCTAAGTTAAACCTAGGAAAATCGTAAGTAGAACCTAGGGAGATCCTAAGTGGAACCTAAGAAGATCCTAAGTGAAAGATCCTAAGTGGAATCTATGAAAATTCCAAGTTAAACCTAGGAAAATCTTAAGGGGAACCTAGGAAGATCCTAAGCAGAACCTAAGGAGAGTCTAAGTGGAACCTTAGGAGAAACCTAAATAGAATCTTCAAATATTCTAAGTAGAACCTAGGAAGATCTTAAGTTAAACCTAGGAAAATCTTAAGGGGAACCTAGGAAGATCCTAAGCAGAACCTAGGAAGAGTCTAAGTGAAACCTTAGGTGGAATCCAAGTAGAATCTTCAAATATTCTAAGTAGAACCTAGGAAAATCCTCGATACCTAGGGTCCCGTAAGACCCTGATTCCCACCTAGTTAGTCAAAAGCCCCTGACTCACCACTTGTACCAATTACAAATTTTTAAATACACCCAGGGAGATAGCATTCACAGGTTTCCAGGTGAAAATTACAAATGTAACAGAGTGGGAATAGCTTAAGGTAACGACGCGTTTCCCTGAAACGCAGCCACGTTAATATATTCCCAGCTCAAAGAAATATGCGCATATCGTTAATTTTCGGTGCAACCAAGTGCAGTGAGTAGTAGTGTTCAGTGAAGCGGGGATCAAAGAAACACGGACAGGCACATGCTTAGCCCGGGAATTTCAAAAGAGAGAAACAGCCTTTCATTGAAAGAGAGATGGCCCAGCGTTGAGGTGAAAAAAAGAGAGATGCATCGTGTTGAAGAAGCAATCTCTCATTATATATATTTTTTTTTTTTTTTTCGAGAGTGATCAATCGGCGCGAAGCTGCGTAATCGAATCGTTTGTTGAGCTATTCGTGCCTCGTTTGAAAGCGTTTCGCTGATGAGAGGATTTGGCAAGAATTTCAGGATCGATTACTTTTCATTATATCGAGAGAACTTGTTCGTTGATTATCGTACGGTTGTTTAAACGAATTTGCTGACCAATCGTTGCTTCGTTATTCGGTACAATTTATTGCTTGATTGTTGTTTACCCTTCGCAGATAAATTTTCTAGTAATTGTCGGCTCTTGACCGAGGCGATTTATTGAAAATTATTGTTCCAGGTAACTGAAAGTGTTTACCAATTACTGTACTGAAAAATATTTGATAAAATTTATAAAATGCAGTAAGATTTTAATAAATTAATTTTAAAAAACTATATAGAAAAATGATAAGAATAAATTACAATAATGATAATTGGTAAATTATATTTCATACAATGGGTATATTTTATAATTTATAAAATTGTATTTCTAAATAAAAATTTTAAAGAAAATTTAATAATGAAGAAGGTGGTTTTAAATGGATGTACATTTAACCGCGTCAGTATCATGTCTCAATCGTCCTGCTAATTAAATTTAATTAGCAGCTTGATGTGTGCGTGCAGGTTTCTTTAATTGCTCCAATAGAATTGAACGAGTACAGCTTTACGGTACAGCCACGTATCTCGATCCTAATATTTATGATTATTGTCCGTTGAAAATTAAATTTCACGTTCACCAGGTTAAGGAGGAGGTTAATTAGTGCTGAGAAGGGGAACTTTAAGCCGCTGATGATTCAGCAGGTAACTTTGTTCGATAGTCTGACGCCAGCAATATGAGCCATTTCGGCTTAACTAATTCCAAGACCTCGTGTTACGCAGACTCTGCCGCAACATTAAAGATTTAACAAAATTCAGACCTTTTGCCAACGATTATTACCCACGAAACGTTTATAATTAGAATATTAATTGAACTATCCCCAGGTTAATTCGTCCAACGATTAAAATTGTGGTTTCCATGCGTTTATTTTTCAGCTAATTAAAATCAAATTTAATTACAGTTAATTGATACAAAAAATTAGTCAAATTATTTGATTAATCTCATATTAGATTGAAAAAAAAAAAAAATTGAAATTGTAAGAGTAAAAAATTCTACAAAATGCAAAATATTTAAAGTGTCAAATTAAAGGGTATTGAATTTATTGAAAAATGATACGATATTGCTGGAAAGCAGAATTCGAGTATAGTTAGCGATAAATGTTGATCGATCCCAGCAATTTGATATTCGATTTCTTTAGCTGTTCAATAGCTTCCTTCGAATAAAAACGATTAAATTTAATGGAATCCTCTATTGGCTCTTTAAAGTGAAACCTGCCATTCAATTCAATTTCAAATAAATTCTGAATTTTAAAGTATAAATATTTTCTCAATTCCTTCAACTGAATATTAATTCTTTTTAAATCAAAAATAGGGATTTATATCTTTTATCTAGCTTCAAATAAAATAAATATGAATATTCTATGGGATCAATAAACAAAGGTGATTCATATTGTTTTCCCTTGTCCGTACAATAATTTATTGGTACAGTTTTCATCAAAAGCTGCTGATTCAACGATAATTTGCACACTGAAATACACAGAGGGATTTATGAAATGACCCAATTATTAATATCTGCTATTAATTGTCTTTAATGAACGCGTTCCAAAGAGAATATTTAGTATTGTCGTCCGAAATATCAAACCAATAGAGTCCCATACATCACGGGCACTAAACAGGAAATCAATTCCGTTTCAATCAAATTAATTCAAACAATTAAATTCTTTGTGATCGTAGATTATGTCTAACAAATTACTTTTCCATTGTTGGTCACCAATAGGATATTAGAGAATTATAATACAACAATAAAATAATAATATTTATAACAATTTAACCATATTACTCAGTTAAAATTTTAGCTTTATAATTAATTAATTCAGCAAATCGAAAGCAATGAATTTTATCTAAAATTTTACCTAGGTAATATGACAAGCTCCCATGAGGACGTAACTTTATCCTCCGCCTATATATCCTCACGTCCATGCAATGGCGTCCTTAAGACGATTAGAAAATAGAGTAGTCGTGTCACGTACCTGGGTATAGGCGTCCTCCTGATAGGGTGTCCTGCGATGACACTCGTCGTAGCACCTGCCATCGTATCCGCTCGGTGGCCGTGGATACGGGTCCTGTACCGCAGCTGCAGCTGCACAGCAATCCGGTATCTGCGCCTGGTAGGTCTCGTAGGGACACTTGTCAGGTTGACCACCAGTTCGCGGTGCCTGGTGCACCCGCTCCTGGGGTCCGGTTCCGTAACCGGTACCACCGGAGTGATGCATCGTCCACTCGGTCGATCACTACGATCACTGCATCGTCGCACGATTTAGCATCGGTACCAGGTACCTCGTCTTTGTCGCGGGCCACTTTTCGTACGGGTCCATCGTCACTTTGCTACCGCGCCACCTTCCTAACGACAGCTGCCACTCTAGCCAGGACCTAGGATGCACCTGAATGGGGAGCATAGGGTGAGACAGGGCAGAACTGTCTCACCCTGGCACACTCTGCCATATGCCATTTTGTGTGCCCTATGACCCATGGAAGTGTTGTGCTAGTGGAGATCTGGTATGTCCTAGGAGAGCCTAAGTCATCCTGGCATTGTCTACTGTATGCCATACAAAATTGGATGATTCTAATGGTAATGAAAGTCTTGTACTTTTTGGCAATGAAGATTCTATGCCATTTGGGATTATGTGTCTTGAGCTACTGAAGATTTCGTATGTCCTATGAGAATCTAAGTCATCCTGGCATTGTCTATTCTGTGCCATCTGAAATTTGTTGTGTCTAATGGCAGTAGGAGTCTTGTACTTTTTGACAGTGGAGGTTCTATGCCATTTGGGACTGTGTGCTTTCTGTTACTGGAGATTTTGTATGTCCTATGAAAGGCCAGGTCATCTAGGTATTATTTACTCTATGTCATGCAAATGTTGATGAGTTTAATGGCAATGGAAGACGTGTACTTTTTGATAACTGAGATTCTATGCCATGTAGGGCTATACGCCTTCTGATACTGGAGATGTTGTATGTCCTATGAGAGCCTAAGTCATCCTAGTATTGTCTACCTTATGTGATCCAAGATTTTATGGGTATTATAACTCGTGAAGGTCTTGTACTTTGTGACACTTGAAATTCTGAACTATTTGAGATTGTATGCTTTAAGCTATGAGGGATTTTGTATGTCCTATGACAGTCTTAGTCACCCTGGCAGGGTCTGATTTATGTCATCTGAGTTTCTACGTGTCCTGTGCCATTGGAAGTCTTGTATTTGATGTTTAAGATTCCATACCATCTGAAACAATGTGCCTTATGTTATTAGAAGTTCTGTATCTCCTATGTCAACCTAAGTCACCCTACTCCTGTGCACTCTATGCCATGTGAAATTTTATAGATCCCATGTTATTTGAAGCTTTGAACCTACTGTTATTAAAGATTTTATGTCACTTAAAATTTCATAGGATATTTATATTTGTGTAAGTGACATTAGGAGATTAGATACGTGACATTTAAACTGTCCCACCCTACTATGTATTATGTATCCTACGTTGCCAAAAATTGGACAAATATTTATCACATTTAAAATCAAACAATACCGAAACTAATTTAAACATATCATGGAGTAAAGTCAGAGACTAAAAGAAAATTTTTCTCAACGTTCAATTATGGTTTTATATATAGGAAAGTAGAGCATTCGAAGGATTGGCGAGGCTGATCGGTCGATTCCAATTTACCACAGGTTATTCTTCGTACGGGGCCATTATTTTCTTCTATATTTCTTACACAGAATGTTCTTGAAATCTCCCTTTTCCTCTCTCTCTTTCTCCCTTGTTCTTTCTTAAATCCGAAGACATACCATTCGAGGCGATATCGATAGATAAAAGCTTGATTCGTTCGATCGAACGATTGAACAATTTCCTGGAAGCAAGGTACTCCGCAAACACTCGAAAAAGATATCGCTACTTATTCTGATACGTGTTGCAAAAAAAATAAAAAAATACTATTCCAATCGATACTCTTGAACGTGCTTAGAAGTTGAAACGATTCTCTTCAATTATTTTGATTTTGAAGGTGTAAATTTAATTGTTACTAGAAGAACGTTCCGTTATTTTGCAAATTGTATTTTTCAGAAATTATGTAAAGAAATTAAAATTAAAATTAAGACTCAGAGACCAAGTAATAATTCTCAATCAGGAGAACGTTTTAGATTCTACCCTTATCCGGATCATCATTTACCTTATTAAAAATCTCTGCGAATAATAACGATTTTAAAATTGTAACCAACATAAATCAACTTGAAATTCGTCTTCAATTACTCCACACGATCAGTTCTTTCAAAGGAGCTCATCAATCTTCAACCACGAGAGAAGAAAACGAAATCTGTTCTCATTTCCCTTCGAGATCTCATCTTTCATTCGTTAAAATCCGTAGACAGATGTGACCAAGCAAAAATCTGCATTTCACCTGGCTATATTTTCAAGAAAAAGAAGCAGTACGATCGGAAATCCTTCTATCATCTTCGAGTTTCGATACCTTTAGCTAGGATACTTTGTTTCAGTCGATGCAACGTTGCCTTGGTATTCTCCCAACACCACTTCCGGTGTACGTGTCCTTATTCCATCAGTTTCCTCTCCATCGTGTTCCAGGTCGCCAATTTCTTTCCTCTCGACCGAAGGATACTTTCTATTCGTCGAAAAGAGGAAAGCTTTTCCGGCCTTTCAATGATCAGACGGCAGATAAAGAGCGAAATGGAAATAAGAAGCAAAGAGAAACTCTGTTCCTACAGTCTATGATGATTCAAAGTGAATGTGCAGCTTGTAATAACGCTGATTAGAAAAGGTTAGTTCAACTTCGATTGTTGTTATAGATTTTGGTTGTTCGTCGAAGAAAAGTTTATGATATTAGTATTAATAGATGAGGGTCACTTTGGGGTGTCTGACTATGTGTAGCCTTTTCTACTGTGGCAATCAGTACTAATTATTAATTAGAATTATTACTGGAATTTCAAATGCAAATTTTCCTCGAATTTCCAGTCCCAAAACTTGTCTTTCCAATTTTCCAAATTTTCAACCCTCAAATCCTAACTCTCATGTATTTTCCAATACCAAACCCAAATTTTCCCCAAATTATCACTTCTAAATTCACTTCTTAAATTATAATTTTTCCCAAATCCAAATTTTCCCAATTTTCCAATCCCAAAATCAAATTTTCCTAAATTTCCAATTGCAAATGCTAACCTACAATGAATCCAGCACCCAAGTTAATAGCACCCACCATCAACATTCATAGTATTTCCAGAGACTAAAATCGACAAGTCCGTTGAATCCATAATCTAAAGAGGGTTCGACTCGGTCCTTCATCCTTGTTCCCGGCCATTCATTCTCCTTTTGCTATTCCTTTGCCGGACCCTGCTGCTTCATCAGAAGGCTATCCACGAAGTAGAAAGTTCTTTCAGCCTTTCAACGATCACAGAGCTCGAAGAAGATAGAGAAACAGAAGGGCGAAGTCAGCGAAACAGAGAAGAAAGAACAACGGTCGAGGAAGTAGGGAGGATGAGGTTAAGGACTAGTCGGTATGATTTCCTTTGCGTAACTGTCCTGTTTTATTCATCAGAGTGGTTGCAAGGCCAAGATAGGACTGGTCGCTTTCAGTCCTGTGAGCGAGTTTATACCATGGACACTCGATTAACGAACAGAATGTTTTCCTTCAATTATCCTTCAGTCAAAGATGAAATGAAGATTAATTCAAACGTTCCCCAAAATTATTCATACCCTGATCGCTATTATGAAAATAGTCTAGAAATTTTCAATTAACTGAGACATTTGTGAAACAACCCTGGGATTGTTTTGTTATTTTTTTTTACCTGGTATTCATTAACACACACTCATGGCCGAAGGCTCAGTTTTAATTAAGTGAAACCGAAAAAACAGTGCAACGAAAACATAGTGAAATAGACTCGGAAACATACACCCCCATTTCTGTTTATTTATAGGGATTGAATAAATATTTGGATGTATTTTCAAACATTTTTCTGAAATCTTCAGTTTCATGGGATATAAGAACCCTTTTAATAAAAGTTTATTTTAAAATAGGAATCAGAGTTTGAAATAACAAAGGCATCAATTATTTTTGCATCAAAGGAACAAAATATAAAAGAGCCATGGATCGATAATTTTTAATAACTAAAAAATTGATTTTGCTTCCCTACCTCTTGAAATGAAATATCCAACCCCCATTATTAATTAAAATTCTTTTACAGCTTTACCTGCTTCGCCAGCAATGGTGTTCGATTTTCTATTTTTCTTTTCTTTTTAACGCTCGAACGCGTGGAAACCGGAGGTTTCTCGAATCGTTTCGCTTCCGTGTTATTGACAAATAAGCACCGACGAATTATCGGCGAAACGGGCGAAATAAAGGCGTGATACTTTTCTCTCTAGTCGGATCAACAAGATGATTTTCCCGGTAGGTTGAAAAGAAGTAGGTCGTTGAAACGAGACGAGTCTTCATCGTTTCGTAGAAGCTGGCTTCGTTCGTCTTTTCGTCGGAACGGTGATCATCAATCTTGCCGGAGCAAGGGTAACACGTTCATCTCCCAATTACGGACCCCTTTACTTCCGGCAAAGAGGATTTGCATCCTGGAGGAAGCCTAATGCGATGCACGATCGAACAACCTTCGATAAATCGACTTCTTCGCGGACAATCCCTTCTCTTCACTCGTCGAGGATGGCTAAACTTTCTGATGGAAAGCTTTACGAAGCTTTCAGATTTATGTTTTCGTTGACCTTTTTGAAAGCCATTTAGCTTAAACTTTTTCGAAAATGTGACATTTTTTTATATTTAAGCTTTCTAGGACGAAGTAATATTTTTCAGAACATTTTAAAAATTCATATCATTAAAACCCATTTTCTTTCATAATTTTTCTTGTGAAATAGTTTTGTTTAGAAGTTTCATTTTTTATTAGTTTTTTATTAATGAAAATATGCTATCTTATAGAACTTGTCAAGCTAAATACATCTATAACTCTATTTTGAGGGCAGAGGTCTAATTGTTTAAAAAATATTAACAACACATAATGGATAATTTTAAAAAATTGAATTTTATAATAAGTGCAATATAATTAATGAAATAATTAAAAGAAGATTAATTTTTAGAATAAAAAAAAAAAATTAGGGAACCGGGATTTGAACTGAGGATCTTTGGATTTGCAATCTTCTATATAGTGGCTAATATATGGAGAGCTCCTCTTGGAAATTTATATTTTTAATATAAAATACGCTTTCATATGAATCATCATCTTCTTACATATTTCATTCAAAAATATTTGATCCAAGGAATCGATTATCGACCAGATCAATTATAATATAGTAAAGCTAATTAAACCCAGATTTAAAGAACATCCTTTATTCAAAGAATCTCTGATTTCCAGAACATCGTGTATATCTCTCGTTTGCTCTTCCTCTCAAGAGAAAGACTTTTCTTACTAAGAATCTTCTTCTTCCATCGTGCACGTACGCTTCTGTTCATCCTTTCACCGGAAAAAGACTACATTACTGGGAATCCTGGGATAACTTCCTCGTTTCGTTTCCGGCTCACTTATTTCTCTATTCTACCGATGTACACGTATCATAGCACACGTGTAACAAAATACTCTCTGTTTCCTTTAATTTCTTTCAATTATTTAATTATATTCACTCAGCATTAATTAACTTTGAAAAATAAAAATATTATTCCCAAAGTGGAATAACGAGATTGCTGCGTTAAAAAAAGAATATTTAAATTCCAAAATGGAGATTCAATATTCACGCAGATTCATCATATCTTTCGTCGCGGAAATTGTAGTTGAAATATGTATGTGAGAAACGTGTTTCGATATCCTTATGAGATCTTTACGAGTTTTTTTTACGAGTACCAAGCAAGCAGAGTACTTCTTATGCAGACACACATACGAAATCTCCTGTTTATTGAATTCCGCCAAGCTCGTCGCAATTTTAAGATACCACCACCACGGTGAGTCTCAATCCTTCGCCGACGCGGTGTATGAGTTTTCTGTCGTATCGCAATCTTCCTCGTCGCCGTTTCTATTTAATGATTTTGTAAACAAGCTCGCTGTCGCGTCAAATTGGAAACGTTTAATCGAATAATTTAACTTTTTCAATCTGTACTAAGTTTATAATTCCTACGGGGAATTAATCCGAGTGAATTTTACCAAACTTTATAAAACATAATAAAAATTCTCAAATTTGTCTAAGCTGAAAATGCCAATAAATTTTGTATTAAAAATTGATAAATCTACACCTTTTTAATTGCCATTTTAAATTTGACTAATTTCCCCTCGCTTTTGTATGTTCAAAAAGTGTATATAAAAATTATTTTAATAATCGAAGTTCTAATTAAAAATGAGAAAGGGCACAGAATTAATTTGTACCCCCTATAATAACAGTATCCTACTTTGTCCTCGTCGTAAATCTACTGAACTATTCAGGAGGACAATATTAAATCCTTTCACAATGAAAAGCCACTACTTTGGCTTTCCATAAATCTATTATTACGTAGCAAAGGCCGCTGGGCGGGCATTATATCATAATAGATTAAGCACGAGAAGCCAATTCGCTGTTAAACTCAACGAAATTTGTTGAATCTACGATTCACGCATTCGCGTCACGATAACCGGAGAAAATTTCTGCGATTCGAGGGAAAAGAGAACATCGGTTCTCCTTTCTTCGAGTAAGTCAAGTTTTATCTGTCCTGGGGAAATTTACGAGCTACTGCGGTCTGAATATCGCGAAGCTTCGTTAAGTTAAATCCACCTCTTAGAACTTTACGAGGATCCCGCTAAAAGTCCTACGATTTTTACTATCCAGGATGTGGTAAACATCAGGGGTGAAAAGAGGCTGACTGGCTACCTAGGGGTTCCTCTGCCAGAGCATTTCCTTGTAAAATTTCTTATTACCTAGCAAGAGGGATTTTTTTATTTCTTCTATGATGAAATTTTATTTTTTTTTATTATTTATAAAAATTTCAGTGGTGTGGGATAAATTTAATTTTAGTAGAAATATAAATGTTTGTTTAATATTTGTAAGGGTTGAATCCTCTTTTAAGAAATTAAGAACCTTTTGAAATAAATAGTGGAATATTTTGGAAAACTTTAGATACCATTGTCAGAAATAAACAGGAATAAATAAAATTAGAAAAGATTCCAGAAATAATGATTTCTTATCCCTCTATTGGCCAATTATTAAAATTTCAATTTCAAGGAAAACCATGCAGTGTTTGTTATCTGCATGTAAGAATAACCTAGAATCGAAGAGAAATTCCTAAATCACTAATGGGGCTCTAATGAAAAGGAAAACAATCGCTTTTCACGGAGGTCGTTGAAAAGGGGTTAAAAGAAAAGATTGAATCTGTCCCGGGAGGTCGTTGCACCACGAAGCCTACGACGAATACCTCTGACCTAAAGGTTCAACTGCGAAACCTTATTGAGCAATTCGATGAATAGCTTAGAAGAGGTATGCGCTAAAATAGAAGGAGAAAACTGCAGGAAGAGAACGCGAAAGGGTAAACGTGAACTCGATAAACAGAACAACGATGAATTAAGCCGATAACTTGGTAAGAAAAAAAGCAAGATTTCTGTTCTTACAAGAATTTACAATCTTTTGAAGATAAATAAAGTGCACATATTTTAGAAAAATCAAAAATAATTTATAATTTAACCAAGTATTCAATCTTAAGTAAATAAATAATAATTTTCTAAAGAATCCAAGTGATCAAGTGCTCTTAAAAAAGTAAGAAATACATGTATAATGCGTTTTTAATTTTTGGACGGCGGACCATGGAGAAAGGCCGCCCCAAGACGGACCCTGGAGGAAGCCACAATTTTAATATAATTTTGCATTAAATAACCATGTACGTTGCCCTATTAGTTTTTTTTAATTTAGTGAAATATTTTTTGATCACAATCGCAAAATCAACCGTATCCCGTGAGCTTATCCGGAAGTTGCAATTTGCATTACACCCGGTGCTCCGTTCATGAGAGAGAATCTCATCCGTGGCTCGGAGTCTCGACGAGAAGACCCCCGTTCCATTTCCTGATATAACGAGCTCGAGGGGTCGATCAGAGACGGGTAAGCCCCGTCGTCGATGTACGACGAGTAGTTTCCGACGAGCTTCCACGTCTCAGAAACGAGACGAAGGAAAGGGTATTTCCGTGTGACCTACACCTCAGCTTCTTGCGTTCGATGCAAGTCGAACGGCTCGATACCGATCTCGATTAATACCGTGGATCTTCCGGTTTCCAGCCTTGAATTATATCGAAAGGTCAACGATACCTTTCCCTTGATTTCCTTTTCTTCCTTTAAGTAAATTTCTAATTTTATAGTGTTCAGAAATTCAATGGTATACAATCGTATTTTCCAGCGAGTTGACAAAGGATAGAACTGATAGATCACCGATTGAATCGTTCGTCAATGACAGATTATTAGGTGTCGGATTATCGAGATTCTATTGTTTAGGGGATAACAACCGCCGCAAATGAATAGTGATTTAGACAACCTGACCGTCAATTCGAACGCCCATTCAAGGTAAGTTATAGCATAGTGTGTTTGGATCAGAATTATCTGAATTAATTGGAGATCTATTGTACGACCATATTGCTATACAAAATTCTCTTTTGTTTCCTCTGAAAGGGGATCTATTTGCCCATGAAATAACTAAGACACAAGTGTCTTATATATAAGTAGATTGAAAATGAAATCTTATGAAAATTTTTATGAAAAACAGAAATTTCATTTCCTTTCTAATTTATGTAGTGAATTTCAAGTTTGAAATATGAAAATTGTAATGTGCGAATATTTTCTCTAATTCATACAGAAAATAAAATCAATTTGGAAATAGAAAACACTTAATTGCTTTGATTTTACAATCAAAGTCTTGATTATTCAAGATCCTCCAGCTAGAGAGTTGATTATGCACATTGTTGGAATATTCAACACGTAAGAAGGCATCGACACACGCAATATGCAACTTGTTTTTTGGATGCAATTAGTTTCTCTGTTAATTAGACAACTTTCGGGTGCCCCGAGTAATTGGATAAGTTTACGAGTTGATGAGAGAAAAAGAGAGCGGATTGTGAGAGAATTGGGGTGATCTTTTTGAAGCACGTTTATGTGCAACTGAAATACATTTGTAATATAAACAAATTTTTCTACTGCAAGTATATAAATAAATTTTTTAGATTTTCCGTCATATCGTCTCACGATCGCTTCTGATTTTCCTCGATTTTTACCCAAACGCTTGTTTCGAGTGGGAAATCGATTTCTGGGCAATTTTCACGCGTTAACGAGTCAGAAATCTTGAAGAAATATCCTAGTCGACGATCAGCGTGAGTGGAAAAGTCTGTAGGCCATTTCCTCGAGTTTCCCTTTTTCTCCCTTCGTCGTTGCCCGTCGACGATTTTTCCTTCGTTCTTTTTCCTTTCCTACCCTTCAGTTTCGCTTTCCTTACGCAGCTTGTTGTATATATTTACCAGGCGTTTCTACGAACAGCCTGCAATTGATGGAGCAATGGGAGAAGAGGAAAAGAAAAATCTGTTCATCAGACGATGTAACAGTGAAAAATTGATCCTTGTATCATGTACGCCATTGCTCGTTTCCGTTGGAAAATTCTATGGTTTTCGTGATGGAAAATTGATCCTTCGAGATGGGTAACCGTCAAGATCAAATTGTATCATGTTAACTTTTGTGAAGTTTTCAGGTAGAAGTTGTCATCATTGGATGCAAATGCAATTTATACGCTCGTGATCGAATTAGATTTCCCAGAGAAAATGGTGATACCCCTCTTTCTTCCCCCATGGGTGGCCACAGGGAGATCGCCAGTGTAACGGGAAAACCACCCTATTTATAAGTCTGTGGCGAGCCACCACTAGCGAGTGAATATTTACACAAAAATGGACCGAAAATGATATTTTAAATTGCAGAATGCAATTAAATTTCATACACTAATTTTATTTAAAATAAATTTTGTTCAGTTCTTTAATTTTTTAATTACTTGCAATTAAAAAATTCATCTTCTGTAAATTTTGATTGTTAAAAAATGAAATCTTTTTAAGGTATCAACGGTATCAACTTAATTTCTTGAAATATCTTATAATTGTTATATTTAAAATATCATAATGCTTCTAATAATCGTAATCATTAAGATGGATGAAAAATGTACCTCTTTGTTCGCGTATGCGCCATTAAAATCGAATAAAGGAACTCGTTAAAACAGCTCGCCACGAGATCAGCGAAAAATGTCTGCCTCTGGGGAACGTGTGGTCGTATTTTAATAGGTTTGGACAACTTCAAAGCTTGTAGTTGGCGAAGTTGTGTAACTTTGGCTAACTTCACCAGAGACGAACTCCCTTTGCACATAATATCCGATAATCTCATAGTCACATAACTAATAGCTCCTATAATAAGCGTCTGTTTCGCTTGGCGCAGTTTAAATATGCTTAATTACCGCCACAATTAACTGGACCCAATTAAAAAGTTCCTTAAAATATGAATGATTCGTGCGAAACCAGAGGAAAAATATATGTAAAATACTTTAACCTGATGGAAAAGATATCATCTTGGTTTTAAAGCAAAATAAAAAAAAAAAAAAGAATTCAAACAAATTGCATTTCGTTAATTAAATTAAAAATTAAAACGTCATTTCAAGAATGTATACGCGTGCGAAATGTTTATACGATGTGTCTCTTGGATTAATTTTGTTCCATTTAATCTTCGGTATTTAACTTCGCAAATTTTAAACTTTGCAAAGTGTGAACATTGTAGTTCCCAAGATTTCAGAATTGCAAAATATTGAAATTTGCGAATATTGCAGTTTGCAAAATATTAAAACTTCAAACTTGCAAGATTGAAATACTGTAAAATGCTAATTTTCACAAATATTATTATTCAAAAAATGCTGGTACTGCAAAATATCGAATTTTGCAAGGTTTGAATATTTCAATTTTTAAATTCTGATCCCTTCAGCCCACAGAATATCATTTCCCTAAAATTTGAATTTTGAAATTTCTAAAATTTGCTGCTCTTTGACACTACCCTTAAACCACGATCAGCCATTACACAGCTATCGTCGATGAAATCGAGTGTCATTGTTAAAGGAACACCACAAATCACGATGGTTGACATCGAACACCCAACCACGTTAATTTCCACCAACCGGACACCATCTGCGTTCCGTGGCGGAGACACCCTATCAAACACTGCCACATAAAATCTCACACAACTGCAACGAAGATTATTTTCTTTCTTTTTTTTTCCGGCAAGTTGCATCGCATTCTATTAGCGTCTGGCAGCTTCTCAAAGGCCAACGTAATCGAAGATGCAGTCTTCGAGGTGGGGTCAGAAGATCGATTCTAATCGAATCATGCCAGCCTGTACGGATTATATCCTTCTCACGAGATTGGTCCGGTCGTGGTCAAAGGACATATCGCTGGTCGACAATCACTTAAGGTCCTCTCTTCGTGGTTAAAGGACCGACCGGCCGCAAGCGTGCCGACGTTCTTCCTTGGTGTTCGAGCAAATCGATCTTGATCGAGTATACCGTGCATCCGAACGGTCTCGATTCAATCTTCCAGACGAATAATGCTGTCGTCAAAGGAATCATCATTCTGAGCCGATCGATCGGAACTCTTTGCCGAAGGTTTCGTCTATTTGCAGGGTTCTTCGTGTTCGTTATAACACCTTTGTGTTTGGGGCTGATTATTACAGGTGTTCTGATATTTTCATCCCGAAGCCTTTTGATGCTTTTGTTTGTTGGACTTTCTTTTGGCAAGTTTTAGAATTTGAAGGGTTTGGGTATTGCAAAGTGTTGAATTTGAAAATATTGAAATTTGGAAGGTTTGAATATTGCAAAGTGTGGAGTTTGGTAAGTTTTCATTTTTACAAATATTGCTAGTTGCAAGGTTTAAACATTGCAAAATCTTGAATTTTGCAAATATTGTATTTTGCAAGCTTTAGGTATCCCAAGATATTGAATCTTGAAAATATTGTATTTTGCAAAGTTGAAGAATCCCAAAATTTTGCCAAATTTTACAAGGTATTCCCAATCCCCAGGTATCGAATTTATAAATATTACAAATTGCAAAGCACTGAAACACTTGATTTCAAACAAAATTTCAACGAGAGAAAAATAATATGTCATACAACATCTTTCATATAACATTATCGAGTTACCACCAAGCTTTACGTCTATGCAAATATATACATCAACAGACGACAGGTAATCTCGAGAATATGAGTAAAGTAAAATTCTTACGTCCTATGTTTTGCATAATTTTCAGACATGTGCCACTTGAATATATGAACACATGTACTACGCCAGAATAACATGTTCATCTTAGAAAATTACTTTTTTATCTCTTTGAATTTTTCTTAAACGAGTTACAAACCACCACATTTTTAACCCAAATCCACCAATTCATTAAAAAAAAATAATAATAATTCTTTAATTAAAAATTATTTCTCTTTTACAACACATTTTTCTTTCAATTCCACCGAATGATCGTACAAAGACGCTCGAATTTTCTTGTTCTCTTTTATCTCTCACAACGCAATGATATTCATCTTGTATTATAAAACTTCATAATCCAACCTATTGCTCCAGAGAGCTCAAATATCTTTTACATAATTTTTAATCTAACTTTCCTCGGGACAATAATTCAAACGACATGCAAATAAAAGCGTTGCTTTGCTCGCTGGAATTCGTATAAAAACTTTTTTTTTTCAAGAATAACATTCCTAGGGGACGAAGAATTCCGAAACTTGATTCAATTTGAAAATTTTCTTACAAATTAATTTGACTCGAGTGGACGGTGGGTGTCGCGTAGAAAATGTATTGCTCGTCAAAGACTGATTAAATCCATTTTCGTTGAATATTCCCTCTTCATAAATATGCTAATGTCTGGCAAACACGAGTGCAATTCGACCGCGTTCGTCCAGCAATCGTTTTAATTTGTTGTTAATTGGAAGAAGCAATCGATGGCCCTCTCGTTTCTTTTTATTTCTTCGTCCTTTTTCGTTATTTATCCTGGGATATTTGTAATTGAGCGTACTGCGAATCTGTCTCACTGGGAATTCTGCATAAATCATATCTGGCCCGCGAGAATCTGCATAAATCGATATCGATTGTTATTTTATGCGACGCGATATTCTTGGCGACTTTTGCGGCTTCCGGAAGAAAAAAAAAATTATCGCCCAGTATGCGCTTTAATGGTGAATATTGAGAGATTTTAGGTGGAAGTGAAAAATTTGTCAAATTATAGTGCTTTGGATTTGCAATATTAGTTTTGCTGAGTTTTGAGCTTTGCAATTTATAAAATTTGCAAAATTTAAGTTTTATGAATTTTTAAATTTTCAAAGTTTTAAGTTTATAATATGGAGCTTAGTACTCTGCAATTTGGACAAGTTTTCAATCATTACTTTAACTATTTTGCCACCTGGCAAAATTTTTACTTCGCACGACTTTCAACTTCTATAATTTTTTCATTTTGCAACTTTTCAACGAGCAACATCCCAGGTTTACAAAGTTTTGCAACACCAAACTCTGTAATTATCCAACCTCGTAAAGTCTCGACACTGACACTTTAAGCCTCTGCAAATTTCAAACTCTTTAATCTTTAAATATTCTAAATTTGTAATTCTGTAACTTCGAAACACTTTGAAATTTTAAACTCTGTAAACTCTAAATCTTGCAATTTTAGAATTTAAAAGAGCCCTCTTCTACACATCATCCTCTTCTTCGTTCTCATTTAAAAACATCCTGTATGAATTATTCCTAAAGTACACAAGGTGTGTAGTCGGTGATTAACGTTCGCTAATTAAAACCCTCGGCTCAAGGTGTAATTATTTTCGTCAAATTAAAACGCGTACGAAGCGACCATAATTTTTTTATTCTCTTTCAAGAAATTAATTAAACAGCTGACGAACATTATCGCTCTCCTGTTCGTTAATTCTGATGGCGCAATCGGCGCTAAGCAAAAACAGCTATGCGAAACTCGATGAAAACGCGAATTTATAGGTAGTACACGCTTGTCTGACCACGAACGACTCATTCCACTAAACCCTGTTAGCTCTCATGTTAACCATAAAAAATTCATAGTCGTTTTATCAAATTCTTTAAAAAGTATAATTTTTTATTAATATTTCGTAGACGACAGAGAATATTTTTAATCAAAATATTTGGCCACAGTGTATAGGTACTCTACATCAGTTTATTCAGAAATGTTTTTTTTACGTACATTTGCTTGGAGAAGAAATATTAATAAATATAAAAAGCTTGCACCTCGCAATTTTGTAATTTCTGAGCGTTGCAATTTTTTCAGTTTGGCAAAATTTAAATTCTGAGAGCTTGTTAAGCTCTGTAATTTTTTAACATTGCTCCCACTACTGTTTGCTTAAAATGTACCCAGCTGTATTTTATTATACAATTACTCTGTTAGTAGAATACTGCATCATAGCTTTGAAATGTTATAATTAATATTCTTATACGATGCAACAATTGCAATTAATTAATAATAGTGTGAATCAATGAAATATTAATTGTATTTTATTAATAATGATTTGGTACTCAACGCGTTAAAATGTTCACCTTTATGCGCAAATTATTATTGATTATTGTTTCTATTAAATATAATAAACGCCAGTGAATGTACATTGATTATATTCAAAATAATCGATAAATAAATTGGATTGAAAAAAAGATTTTTGGGGTTATTTGAAAAATTTGCAAATTGACAATAACAAATTAAAAATTCTTGGAGATCTACCTTGTCAGTTAAAAATGTATACAGATTAAAATTGAATAAAACCAACGTAACTCACTTGTACAATAAAGTAAGTACAATAAAATAAAATAAAATAAAATAAAATCGGATCAATCAAAAAATGTAATAAAATCTCTCTACCATGCAGAATGGTCGAACTACACACCTGTAATCTAGTAAATATTTTCAATAATTTCATAAATCCACAAACCAATCCCTATTAAAAAGGAAAATTCAAAAATCGTAATTGGAAAATACCGAAAGATCCATGCAAAATCGTTCAGGAACAATTAAAATTCAATCAAAATGAAATTAAATACCGTACTTCACACCTCTGTGTTCAACATTTGACATATTAATTTAAAAATCAACCCTTGAAAAGTGGAAGGTGGACCTTGCTAAGTCCTTCAATTAAAAAATATTAGAAAATATAATAGACTCTAGTTATATTGCCACAAGAGCGATTTGACTTTCAAATAGATTTTCGAGCACACTAGTGCCACTTTTCCACTAACATAATTTACAAAATTAATTTACTTCTCCCCCTCCAAATAAGAGTCTGGAAGCTTGAGAATATATTGCCGGCCTTGGCAATGTAACGAGAGTCTACTGTATTTAGAAAAGTTTCCAAAAAATTAACCAATTAACCACCACAGTAAATATTCAAAATTAATCCTTTTTCAACATTTTTCCCCTTTCCTTCTTTTTCGAGAGCTACATTGAGGTTCCAAAAGGAGGTCGCCGAATTTCTCAGCAACAGCAATAAAACTGCAGTAAGAATGTGTGCGCGTTCCTCGCGAACTTTCGCGACAAGTTGCACGCGAGTTTTACATGGGGGTTGCGTTTAATGGGGCCGTTACTCGGACATGGTGGTGGCTCGCTGGAAACGAGACTGCTTCGAAAACATTTTCCTTCGACGTGACCCGAGACTCGGAGACACCGAGCGAAGAGGAGAAATACTGAATGAAAGAGGGCAGGAGAGAAACGTCTTTGTTGGAAGTAAGTGGACCGATAAAATCTCGACTGCTTCTCCTCACGATAATATCATTTCGAGATACTTTCACGGGGAATTCACCGCACACGGGACTCGCATCAGCGGAGAAAAGAATACCGGGAACGATGGAAATACGACGGAAAAGGTTCAACGGATCTCTCAAGGCCCTTCGCGCATTTTTCATGCCCTTATTGCGCTTAGGGGATCTCCTAGCGCGTACTACGGTACACCGTCGAACCAAACGAATCGAACGTGATTTTTGTTTTAAAAAGAAGGAAATAAGATTGCCAGCGATATTCTGCAGATATTTATACTCATTGCTTCCACGTATGCAGAGGATAGATAAGATAATGGAAACGAGAAGAAATTTTTAACATATTCATCCCCAAAGTAAATATAGTCATATATAAAATCGTATAATAATACTTATGGGTGTTTAAAAATATTACAAATGATTTTTTTTCATATATAGGGAATTGTATAAGTATTTCCATCCCTTCAATAGAATTTTAGATTGAATAAACGTTTACAAAATTAGTATATTGTAATTTATAATATTTTTCAGGGTGTAGTATTTCTTCCCCATACCAAGATAAAATTCATAACTTTCATTAAGTTTGTATTTTTGACAAAGTTGTTACGTATTCAACCACCTCTTTAAATTTTCAATAGTATTAGCTGTTTGTATTGAATCAATAGCGTGAAAAGAAAACTGCGATCGTCAAATAAAAGAAAATCTAAGGATCTTCGAACACGTGTGAGTTTCTATGAGAAAACGTGACAAAGTGTTTATCGAAGGTAAACGAAAGAAGATAGATTGGACATTTGTTTCAAACCGAGAAGAATCATTTTTATCCCAGTTTTTTTAAAATTTAAATTATTCTGTGGCGATATTAATAATAATTTGATTCGATATCCTTTCATTTCCTATCATAATCTATCCTTCTTTGTAATTATACAAACTTTGATTTATAACATCCGTTGGTTTGAAATTTACCCAATGATCATTAATTAATCCCCTCGCAATTTCAGTTTAACAATTATTTGCACAAGAGCGAAACAGAGGAAATGAGCAGCGAGGAGGCAACGATACGCAAGATTATACTACTGAACGCGCCCAAAGTAAGTAGAGTAAGTAAACGGATGGTCAGACGGTAATACTAAATGCAGTTCATCAAGATGAAAGAATGCTTTAATGAGTTATTATTTATTAAAATTATAAGTCACTAGTGATAAAGTATTATCAATAAGAGAATTATAAGCTACTCCACGAATCCATTCGTCAAAAATAAGTAGTATAGCTAAACGAAATCTGAGGCAATGATGTTAAATACAGTTCATTGGTATAAAAAAAGGTCTCAATCACGTTACTCATTATTAAAATAATAAGCTAATAATAATAAAGTATTATCCATAAGAATATTATAAAAATATTCCACTGCATTCGTCAAGAATAAGTAGTATAAGTAAACGAATGGTCAGGCAGTGGCAAATGCAGTTTACTGACATGAAAAAAATCTCTATCAAATTATTATTTATTAAAATCATATGATATTAATAATGAAATCCTATATAGAAGAAAATTATAAAGTATGTTACTGACTGCATCCAAAATAAGTAGTATAGGTAAACGAAATATCAAACAATGCAGTTGAATGCAGTTCACTGACATCGTAGCCGAAAATGAAAGTAGTACATCGATTACGTGGAAACGGGGCCTGTTCCTCGAATCTCTGCCCGTAATCACCGAGGCAGTTTATCGTCTGTCGTAACTAGAATGCAATCATTTATCGTGTAACGAGCTGAAATGGCGCTTTCTAATTACAAATGCCAGGCTTACGCGTCTGCGATACAGTTTGATCAGCGTGGAGACTCGATGAAACGATTCTCCGCATGGTATCGAGCTCTTATCACGTTATCACCGTTAATATTTATCGTTACACGTTATCCTTGATTAAACCCTCAACAGAGATCAATTTGTACAGACGGCTCGATTTTAATTTTTTCATTTAGAAAATAATTGAACAAAATAGAGAAAACTTTGTGATAAAATTGATACTTTTTGTTAAATTTTAAGCTCCATCTTTAGAGTTATAATAATTTTCTATAATAGTATTATTGCTTCAATCTTTCCTATTCCATAAAATCACGTAATTATTGGAATAATTATCATTTTCCCAGGAGTATCCCTGAATTTACGACAGCGAGTGATTTCTATGGTCGGTAATTAACGACAGTTCGTCTTTAAGTGATTACCTGCGATCGATTTAATTATCCAGAACCTATAAAAAGCGACAACGATTTTGTTTAAGCAGGAAAGAATGAAATTCCAAGAGATTAAGTAAAAAAGAATCAATGAATCGATTCCCAGGTGGTATCAGAAGAAAGTGCAGCTATTTGTTTTTAAATCTGCGAATGAATCACTCTGGTATATCTGCCTTGTGTTCAAGAAATTCATTAAAATTTAATGAATTAGTTAAATGAGCATCCTTTTGTAACTATGGTAACAAATTATTTAAATAAGGATTGAACGACAGCGAAATTTGAGGTTGTTCTACTGAGAATGCCCAAAGTAAGTAGAGTAGGTAAACGAATGGTCAGACGATACTGGTAAATTATGTTTACCGACCTGGAAAATCTCTATTAAGTTATCTTTTTGTCAACATTACAAAATATTAATAATAAATTATCATCTATAAGAAAATTATAAACTGTCCTACTGAATGTGCCCTAAGTAGTATAGGTAAACGAATAGTGAAACAGCAGTGATAAATTCAGTTCATTGATATGAAACACCTCTAGCCAGTTACCTTTTTATTAAAATTATTAATAATGAAGTAATACTTATAAGAAAATTGAAAAATATTTCATAGGAAAAAGAATTTTTTAAATATTTTCTGTGACTTAATAATAAATCTTTGAATATTATATTATATACCATACAAAAAGACAGATTTTCCTGAAAAGAGTAATTACATAACAAAATTAATATTTTTCCTTGTTTTCCAATTAATAGCTTACTTCATCCTCGCACTGATCCCATACATTTCCAAATGTTCACAATATTCTTCCACTTCTGATGTTTTCATTTCCAAATTACTTCAAATTCATATACTCTTCTTGCAATTAAGAGCATCACTTCTTCTCGCGAATTTCACGCACTTTTTCTCATAAGAGATCATATTTAATTCATTGTTTCACAGTGAGTTCAGTCTGCTTGTCTTCACACTAGAATCTCACTTCTTTTTATCGTATAATCGATTCGAACAATTTTACACACCATTAGCACAGGTTATAAAATAAAACCAAAATTTTAGAAAAGGCATTTGATCCTCTATCAAAATGATCAGAAAGTGTTCTCAAAATAGAAAAAAATCACTCATGACCCTGATAATGATTTCTACAAAGAAATTATTTATTTTACAATCTATTTTCGTTACCCTGCAGCTTGTAAATTATTTTTCAATCTGAAAAATGGTTCTGGCAAGATACTTTAATTCCAGAAAAACTAGTGTAAGGAAATTTAGAAACCAGATATTTTTATTTTTAATAATATAATGTTTTAAGACGTGAATAAGTGATATAACCTCTTGAACGAAAATCTCTTGAAGAAAAACCATTCGATACTCCCTCACGGCTTCAAGTCCTTCACCAAGGAAGAAATCGCGCAGCGTACATTTACAAAGATCGCCATAGCCGGCTGCCTATTTATCGAGACATCGAAGAAACCTGTCTGGCACGTACGTTTTATTTACGAGCCGATTGAATCGTTGCCAATCAATCCATCGACTTCACGTGCTTCCGGCTAGAACGACACGAGGCTTCTCGACGTTATATTCCGGGATCGATATCGACGTGTATCGTCGCGAGGGAAAATCCTGAGGAATGGCGCGACAGAAAGCTTTGAAAGCTTTGAAGAAAGAATTACGATCGGCTCGCGGCTATTCGACGTCCGATGGAGAAGTATTCTTTCAAAGAAGAAGCGAACCGATTCGTCAGGGCATAGAATCGTGCGTTCCCGTGAAATCTCCATGGGAATTCTCGAAGGAACGTTTTTCCGTTAGGAGAAGGAAAAAAGGAAAGGTGGCGCGAAGCAACTGGTTGCAAAAACGCGAAGAATCTTCCTCGAGGATTTCGTGAAAAATTCCTTGGAACATTCATTCAACCCTTTTCTTTCTAAATTAAAATTTAAAATTGAGGATTAATAGAAAAAGGGAGAAAAATCTTATGATTCTTTGTCTCTTAGAAAATAATTGCACTCTCCAATACCATACTTCAATATTAAAAATCTACGAGCTTTAAAGCGTAGGATGACATCTCTTCTCAATGGAATGGTAAAAAGAAAGCGTCCAGAAAGTGCGCCGTGATACCTCGACCAACCGGAAACGGAGGAAAAGAAAGAGAGAGAGAGAGAGTGTGATAAGGAGAGTCAGGTTCAATTTTGAAAATTACATTCCTCCACTTATCTTCAGGCGACAGGGGGAACCTTTTACTAACAGGATTGCGATGTTCGCGCCCGTTTCGCAAGCTTCTCGCTCGCGAGCACGCGAGAGCAACGTAAACTTGTTACCGGAAGCGACGAGCGTAGCTGACGACGCGAAAATTGTTTGCCGTGGTTCATCGTGACCGACCGTGAGACAGCCAGACGCGATTTACCGGGACCGGATATTAGGAACTCGGGATATCGTCGTCGAAAGAGAAAGTTAAATGATTTGTTCCAGTATTGGACACCTATTTCGATACCATATCAATAGTTTCATTTTTATCATACGAGAGAAATATTTGGTTATGGAATTTCATGATTTATTTTGCAGGTGAAATTTTACTAATTAGGATAATTTATTTGTAATTTGTATTTGGAAATTTTTATTGAATTGTATTGAAAAATACATAAGGGTTGAAATAGACATTGAATATATTGTATTGTTTGTGGTAATGTATTTATACTTAAATAAGCGTTGAAATATATTGCACTATTTCATTATAGAATATTGTGGAAAATGGGAAAAATAAAGAATTTGAATTTTTTTTGACAGAAATATTATATTGAAATAAATGTTAAAGGTGTTAGATAGAAAATTCTGGCGTCTATAACGATAAAGTACTTTCCAAAAGTTCTTCAAACTTTTAACTCCTCAACCGATACTTTTTTTCCATCGAACTACACGTGTTCCAAATATTTTCCATAAAAAACTCGAATATACCAACTACCTTATTTAAATATGAACATCCCTGAAACTGTCACTGAACTCCACTTTTTTACACCTTCCGTCTATTTATAATCCATTTACTCATTAAGAAGATTAAATATAAGAAAAAGTTAATTACAAATTTCCAAATTTAATCCATTGATTACCATCCATGTGTGGGGGTGGAATTTGAATATGGAATTATGGAATTTCCATTAAAACCCATCATCCATATTATTAAAATTTCAAGAATATTAAAAATAATTAAACTCTTAACTTAGTAATCAATTCGTTCAATCTAATGAGTCAATGAAGAATCCGAGTCACAAAAGGAGGAGCATAGAAATCAAATTTCCTGAAGGAAGAAACAAGCGTCCATGTGCAATTCTCAGATACTAGAAGCACCGTTCTATCGACTATCTCCGTGGATGTAGAGTTCCAGGTCAACGGAATCTCGATTCTTAACAGTGTGTTCGTTTTACGGGCTCGCCAAGTAGTCGCGTGAAACGCGATACACCGAGTAAAAAGCACTTCCTTTCTCATCCAGCCATCGGATTGACGATCGCTGTGAAACGACCTCCGAAATCCCGGAGTATCATCGAATACTTGGTCAAAATCAGATTTCATCAACCCCTATGCACGAAACAAACGAGAACCTGAAGTAGTCTCCTTTGATCAGCTACCCCTGGAGACACCTGATAAGACACTATGTATCGTCTCCAATTTAAAACCACGAGACGAAGACTCGAAGGAACTCGTAGGATAAGAAATTCTAATCGTGAAATAGTTTCCAAAGATCGACAGATTAACGCCGTGCGGTACGATCAGAGGATTCACGCGTGGCGTTCACTGGGGATGAACGATAAGGTGGAAGAATTACATTGTACTCCTGGCTGTCGGGTCAGCCTGGCACCGAGTCCTGATTACACTGTC